CTAGATTATCCAACAACAAACATTGTCTTATTCTCCGTTTGTTTTTTTTTTTATTTTTTATTGGTTGTTCAAAACATTACAAAGCTCTTGACATATCATATTTCATACATTAGATTCAAGTGGGTTATGAACTCCCATTTTTACCCCAAATACAGATTGCAGAATCACGTCGGTTACACATCCACATTTTTACATAGTGCCCTATTAGTAACTGTTGTATTCTGCTACCTTTCCTATCCTCTACTATCCCCCCTCCCCTCCCCTCCCATCTTCTCTCTCTACCCCATCTTCTGTAATTCATTTCTCTCCTTGTTTATTTTCCCATTCCCCTCACAACCTCTTATATGTAATTTTGTATAACAATGAGGGTCCTTCCATTTCCATGCGATTTCTCTTTTCTCTCCCTTTCCCTCCCACCTCATGTCTCTGTTTAATGTTAAWCTTTTCTTCCTGCTCTTCCTCCCTGCTCTGTTCTTAGTTGCTCTCATTATATCAAAGAAGACATTTGGTATTTGTTTTTTAGGGATTGGCTAGCTTCACTAAGCATAATCTGCTCTAGTGCCATCCATTTCCTTGCAAATTCCATGATTTTGTCATTTTTTAGTGCTGTGTAATACTCCATGGTGTATAAATGCCACACTTTTTAATCCGTTCATCTATTGAAGGGCATCTGGGTTGGTTCCACAGTCTAGCTATTTTGAATTGTGCTGCTATGAACATCGATGTGGCAGAATCCCTGTAGTACGCTCTTTTAAGGTCTTCAGGGAATTGTTCTTATTCCTCCAAACAGATTGTAAACACTGATGGTGAGAATAACATCAGCTGTCAATCAAATCTCATAAATTTGGGTCTTAGTGGGTTTATGGTTTTCCACCCCACCCCCAACTCCAGGCCACCTCTGGTCATCCAGCCCCATTGGGTGAAGAAGAGAGGCACATCAAAGGAAAATCTCTCTGTTAAAATGTTCATCTATTTTTACTATAAGCAACTCTTATCTGAATCCTAAAGTGCAAGAAATAAAATCAAGAATCAATAAATGTGATGGATTCAAACTAAAAAGCTTCTCTCAGCAAAAGAGACAATCATTGAGGTGAAGAGAGAACCTATAGTATGGGAGAAAATTTTTACCACACGTCCATCAGATAGAGCACTAAACTTCAGGATATATAAAAAACTCAAAAAACTTAACACCAAAATCAAACAACCCAATCAATAAATGGGCTAAGGAACTGAACAGACACTTCTTAGAAGAAGATACACAAGCGATCAACAGATATATGAAAAAATGTTCAACATCTTTAGTAATTATAGAAATGCAAATCAAAGCTACTCTGAGATTTCATCTCACTCCAGTCAAAATGGCAGTTATCAATAATATAAGCAATTATAAGTGTTGGAGAGGACGGGAGGGAAAAGGTACACTCATACGTTGCTGGTGGGACTACAAATTGGTGCAACTATTTTGGAAGGCAGTGTGGAGATTCCTTAGAAAACTTGGGATGGAACCACCATTTGATTATCTATCCCACTTGACCAGCTATCCCACTCCTCCGCATATACCCAAGGGACTTAAAATCAGCATACTATAGTGGCATAGCCACACCAGTGTTTATGGCAGCTGAATTCACAATAGCTAAACTGTGGAACCAACCTAGATGTCCATCAATAGATGCATGGATAAAGAACTGTGGTATTTATACACAATGGAATATTACTCAGGATTAAAAGAGAATAAAATTATGGCATTTGCAGGTAAATGGATAGAGTTGGAGAATATTATGCTAAGCAAATTAAGCCAATCCCAAAAAACTAAAGGCTGAACGTTCTCTCTAAGTGGATGTGGGGGGGCATGGGAAGAATGGAGAAACTTTGGATTGGGCAAAGGGGAGAGTGGGGAGCAGTTATGTGGATAGGAAAGATGGTGGAATGAGATGGACATCATCACCCTAGGTACATGTATGATTGCCCGAATGGTGCGTGTTTACACTATAAAACCAGAGGATTGAAATGTTGCCCTCATTTCAGAATTGAAATGCATTCTGCTGTCATGTACAACTAAGTAGAACAAATAAAAAAATTTAAAAAAGATATTCTTCTTGGTATTCCTAAAATGCCCCTCCAACAACAAGTTCCCCTTCATAGGATGCCCCTTCCACTTGTCTTTCTCCCTCTGTCTTCTCCTGCTCAAATCTCTGGACCCTAACTTCTATCTCCTGGGGATATTCAAATATTTTAGAGCYTCTCCTATGAGCCAGACACAATGCTGGCTAGTGAAAGTTACAATGATGACCAAGAGCACTCAAGAGGCCCAGCAACACAGGACCTAGCAGGGAAAGGGACAACTGAACAATGAAGGTGGGCAATGTGGACATGTAGCAGGCAGGAGTGCCTGGTCCTCTCTGGAGGGCTTTCCAGAGGAACTAAGGTGGATGAGCAGGAATCATTTGGGTGAAGAGGTGAGAGGATATTTTGTAGCCAGAAAGAAATAGGCAGGAAGAAAGGGAGAGATGGAGAAGGAGAAGTMCGAGGCTGATGGGTTCAAGCAACACAAAGGAATGAGGGTCCAGTGTTATCCAGTGTGGCAGGACTTAGGGTAAGATGGTAAAGGAATGGCCAACTGGGAGAATTTTTTCTTTGTTTTGTTATTGTTTTGGTGCCAGGGATTGAACCCAGTGGATCTTCACCACTGAGCCACATCCTCAGCCCTTTTTATTTTTTTGTTTTGAGACGGGGTCTCCCTAAGGTTCTGAGGCTGGCTTTGAACTTGTGATCCTCCTGCCTCAGCTTCCCAAGCTCCTAGGATGACTGGCATGTGCCACATGGATAGCTAAGAGTTTGAAGCTGGTGAAGGACACAATTAAATTTACTTTTAGAAGCCTCRTCTCCTAGGGCCAGAGTGAGAAAATACCCACCCTGTAACCCAGGTGACAGATGAAGGCCACTGTGATGTCTGTGGGTTTGGACACACAGACAGGGGCCTGCTCCAAGAAATAATTAGTCAAAGACATAATTCATAGAACTTGATGGTTGATAGAAGATGGTGAGAGACAGAGTGACTTAAAAAGATACCTGTTTTCTGGCTTGGACAACTGAAAGGCTAGTTGGGCTTTTCTGAGGTGGTAGCCCCTCGGGTAGGAGCAGGCTGGAGGGTAGGGGCTGAGTTTACTGAACTGCATTCGGACACTGGATTTAAAGTACCTCGGAGACATTAAGTACATGTATATGGAGCTTAACTAAGAGACTGAGTTGCACACATACAGACCAACCATTTATTATATTCCCTGCTTGCAGAATACCAAGGACTGTCAAGCTCTGCAGTCAAGAACCTTTTCATCATTGTTTATCTCAGTTTTTCCCCAGGAACCAGCCCTCACTGTAGATTACTTCACAATCTGAAAGACAGTGTCAGAGGAAGTCTTCCAAGTCAAGCRTGGGGAGAGTGTCATCTGTCTGTTCATTTATCAGATGAAGAAATTGGCACTGGGTGATTGGTCCTAAGTTTCACAACYGGTGAGTCCCACACTTGAGTTGTTGCTAAATCCCTTGGCCTTTTCAATCTAAGAGAATTCCAGTAGTTGCAGCAGAATGGGTAAGCCCAAGTAACGGAGATGGGAGCAGACTTCAACGGATTCAGCRATGCTGTTGATTAATCCACAGAGTCAGGTATCAGAGGGGCAGAAAATGRGGGTAGAAAATGGCCACCCGTTGCAGAAGGGGGCTGTGTTTTATAGGTTACAACGAGGGTGAATTAGTCATTGGAGACTTCAGCAGAATGTGCGGGTTTGGGCAGTCAGGAAAAAAGTTGCAAAACTCGGAAACTCATTGCTACTGGGAAGGGATGAAAATCCAGAACCCAGCCAGCTGGAGCTCACGGTTCATCTTCTGGCTCTGGGACTCACTGTTACCCAGAGTTTACTGTTTGCTTTTTTCCTACTGGGACTCATTGTCACTGGGAAAGGGTGAAAGTCCAGAGCCCAGCCTCAGTATTTGCCTCCTCCCTTCAGGACCCAGGTTACACTGTCCTCCTTTCTTCCTAAGAGTTGTCATGTTTGCATATCCATCAGAGTGACAATTGGTAACACATATTTCAAAATCTCCTGGCCACGGTGTTTCCTAAATAACATTCTATGTAAGCTTGGATTTGAGTCTAAGCTTTACCATTTCTTAGTCGAATAATAGTCTTATTAGTTGTGTTTTCTCATCGATAAATGGGGGATATAACACTAACTAATGGGATTATTATTAGACATTACTATTAATAAACTGAGACCCAGAAGTTGAGATGCGTTCATGGCTAGTAGAGATGAACCTGGAACTGAAACCTAGATCTTTGGGCTCTGAATCTGGTGCTCCCTCTACTAAGCAAATCATTTTTACTGGTGCCCCTCGGATTATGCTCTAGGGACTGCCCCTGAAAACATCCTCACGTAAGGATGATCCGCTTTTGAGACAGAGAAGTCTGAAAATGGTGCCCAATATCTAAGTGGAGCCTAGAGACTGAAGCCAACTGGAGGTGCTGTGGGGGAGAAAACAGAGGAACTTCAGAGAGACCTAAGTCTCAGTCCTAAACTTTTTTTTCTTAACATTATTTCTCGTGTTTCACTCCACTCACAGTTCACCTGGATGGGAAATTCCAGTGGGTCTGAGAACAGGGGTGCTTGAGTCGATACACAGGTCATCCTGAGGTTCCACCTCGACTGAGAAGCACTCTTCTTCTCTGGACAAAARTCATCACCCCCCAGTCACTCCAGAACCATCCACAACAAACAGATTCATGCCTGAACCAATTTGGCCTTCAGGTTCTCCTTTGTTTCACAGAAACCATTTTAGGGTGGGCTGTGGGAGGAAGCCACCAGGGAAGGGTTGAACCTCTGAGGCTCAGAGGGTGGGCGGACTCAGCCTCACTTCCTCCCTCTCCTCATCTGGGTTTCCTGTCGTCACAGCATGGTCATATTTTTTTTCTCCCTTCACTTCCCCTTTTACACAAATAGCCCCAGACATCTGTGTGATCAGCTTTGTCGTGGCCATCTCAAAGAGAATCACCACACTCACCCTAAAGGACTGAGGCACGGAGCTTGTCAAGGTAAGACTGATGACTTTTCAGCCCAGTTTGAGAGCAAAGCTCTGAACCATTTTATGCCGGGTCAGGATATCACCTTGGGAGTCTCCACATTACCTCTCTACTAACTTTAAAATGTCTGGTTTCACAGATGTTTAGTACTGAAAGTAAAGAAAAAAGAAGGGTAATATATCCTAGTAGCAAGTTCAAAAGCAATCAGGTCAAAAGTACTTCAGCTTACCTGGGTTCCTATCATCTGGAATCTGTTTGGGACGGCGCATTCCTTAGATTAAATGACTACAGAACTTGAATTCCTTATTCTGTGTGGTAATTTCTATGTGAGAGGAAGTTAGGGGAGATTTCCTGTGTGCATATCTAAAAATTATGACACAGAAAGTGCTCGGTAACTGTATGGTAGGAGGTAAAGGCCACTTGGTTGGCTTTCAAAGAGCAGGAAGAACATAGTGATCTACGGGCTCCCCCACATTAATTTATCCTTAGTGTATAAAAAAATGAAGGCTAGGAAATATAACATGAAATCAACTTAGGAAAGGCAACCTGCAAAACTTGATATAGCAATTGCTTTCCAATTCCTGGGCCCATGCAGTTTCAAAGACACAGCAAAGTTTTGGTCCTGACTTTCTGTGACCACCATAGCAGCTGCCGGTCACCACAGAAAAATGGACATCAGATCTTTCTTCCTCCAACACCTGTGAGAATCTCATTTGATTATGCCTTGGAGGAGAGAGAGGAAAGTCCCTTGTGACCACATCCACGTATCTAAGAACGAGGGGTTGGGATGGGGCAGAGGGTTAAAGTCCCAAAGTACTTCAGGGGCTACAAAGCCTTAATTAAAAAAAAAAAACATGCTTTCAAATTAATTCACTTAATAATAAGGGATTAGACATTTCAACACTGTACTTTGAAAAGTATGGGTGGAGCAGAGGAGGGGGCAAGGTAGGAGGGGCATATTTCAAATTTGCATGGCAACAGCCCTGTCCTTAAGGAACTCTCCTGAGAGAGAGGATATATCATACTGTGTAAGGAGCTGGGCCAAAGAGGTCTTAGCCTCTGGATGAACAAAGTTTTGCTTTCTCACTCTTGGGCGGAATCTGTACTGTTTTGAAACTTCGGTTGAAAGGGAGCAGAGGCTGAACCKAAGCATGATTTCCTGTGGTGTTTCCTGTGTGGGTCAGTTAAGAGTGTTTAGCGTTTAAACGGAAGGTACCTTTATACCCAGAGAAAATGTTTCAAAACTCATCCAATCACAGATACCATGACTACCACCTGAGGGACCCCACCTTTGACCATTGACACAAAGAAGCACAAAGTAGAAAGGGAAAACTTGGTTGTGGTTGGTTTCTTGTGCCCTCTGGTCAACTCCTCTTCTTCCTCCCTATTCCCTCCCATCCTGCAATATACCAGTGGTCAGGCATGTGCTCATTGGTGGACACATGCCTGRCCACTGGTACATTGCAGTGTACCAAAAGGAAAATTGATGTGGTTCAGTCTTAAAGAGTGTGCCACGGAGGACAGACACAGCAATACACAAACACAACAGTATGTGCTGTTTTCTAAAAGGGAAGAAGAATGTGCACAAAGTATAGGAAGAGTTTGAGGGTAAGCCAAAGACTCCCTGAGAAATTGCTTGGTGATTGCTTGGGTTCACTTTCCAAGAAGTATGGGTCTGCCATGTAGACTGGAGAAAATGGCATTACAGACCCAAAGCCCTGTATCTGCAAAGTCAAAGAAGCTGGACCCCCTATACGTGTAAGAAATGAACTTAARCAAGAGAAAGAGCAGTCTAATAAGTCACAGGACCACAGGAAATGTGAAGCCCTTTCTCCTCCTTGGCCCTTGAAAGTGGATTACAAGATCACCGAGCACTGGATCCTGAGCCAGCCTGGGGCACACCAATGCCTGAGACATCCACCTGCTAGTATTGATGGGATGTGGTTTTAGGTGAGTGTGAAGAGGCCAGTGTCTTCCTCTTCAACCTAGATTTTCTCCTATAATCAGAAGGAAGGGTGGAGTTTTTGTGAGGTGACAACCTTTCTCTTTCTGTCAGTTTCCATTCCAGAAACGGTGTTGATTTGATCACAGTGGTTTGATGTGTGTTCCTAGATGAGTCAACCCACAGCACTTTGTACTCAGCAAGAGTCCATTTTGTGTAGATGGCCCTGGGCCCTATGGACGGGGCACCTTTTCTGGGGGAATTCACAGGACCAGCTGCCACTGTAGGGTGCCGAGTGCTGAGGCAAAGTAACCCTGAGAAACCAGGCTGCTGTGCAGAACTGGCCTCTAGGGAGCGGAGGAGGGAAGGACTGCCGCTGGAGGTTTGTCTGTGGGTTTGGGAAGGCTGTTGGGAAGTGAGTTTCTGGAAAGAGTAAGATMATGCATTTTCAAAGTCAGTGGGTGAGTGCTGACAGCGGAGGCCACGAATCTCTATGTGGGGATGCAGAGGCAATTCCTCTAGACTCATCCATTTCGTGGGCACATGGTAGAGTTCCTCCCKGAGTTGTCACATCAGGATCATGATAACTGTGGCCACGAATTGTTGTAAAAGAAAAGATGCCACATTTCTACATTCACTTTAAATGGTGAGAGTACTGGGCTTGCAAGGAATTTAGAGATTATTTCATTTCAAATAAACTAACTTATAGTGAGAACCCAATAAATGTTAGCTTCTGTGATATTCTGACCAACTTGTTTTTTTTTTCAGTTGAAATTATTTAATTAACTTTTAAAAATGTCTTTTTTTTAATCTCCATGGAATGTTTTTTTCCTCCATATGGTATTAGATTTCCTTTTCTTCGGGATTTCTCCCTAAACAAGCATTATTTGATTGTGTTCTTTGTTTACATAAAGAAGATTTCAGGACACGTTAACACAAGCCAACATAAATGTACAACTTAATCATAAATCTAATCTGTCTGAAACTCATATGTTAGCAAATAAAATGTTTAATATATATTTACTTTGCCAAAATTTTGTTTGACCTTTTCTATTTCAGAAGAACTAAATGGAGGAATAAGAATGACAGATGATTTTGATGCCTCACACCTTTTAAAACTTGAATTCATGACTTATTATTGATTTCACATCAGGAGCAAATAGAGGCATTAAAATCTTTCCATGGTTCATTCTTCTAAAAATAGCTATTATGCATTTGCAGCATTTATACAATTAGGGACTCACGGAGTAATGATTTTGAGATCAGAATCCCTTAGGTAATCTTTTTTTAAAAAAAAAACTCCTACTGTGTGTGTGTGTGTGTGTGTGTGTGTGTGTGTGTGTGTGTAAGACTTGGGATTGAACTCAGAGGTGCTGTACCTCTGAGCCACATTTCCAGGCCTTTTTGATTTTTTTTTTTGGGTACCAGGGATTGAACTCAAGGGCGCTTGACACTGAGCCACACCCCCCGCCCTATTTTGTATTTTACTTAGAGACAGGATCTCACTGAAGTGCTTGGAGCCCCACTTTTGCTGAGGCTGGCTTTGAACTCACAATCCTCCTGCCTCAGCCTTTCGAGCCACACACAGGTGTGTGGCACTGCGCCAGGCCCCTTTAATTTTTGAGACAGGGTCTAAATTGCTGAGTCTGGCCTTGAATTTGAGATTCTCCTGCCTCAGCCTCCTGAGTCACTGGGATTACAGGTGTGCACCATCATACTGTTTTTCTCTTTTTTTAAACTTTTATTTGAACAAATGTTCAGGTTTACAGGAAAGTTGTAAAAAATAGAATGAAGACTCTCTGAACCCCCTTCACCAGTACCCTTCCCTGGCTGTCTCATTTGAGAGTAATTGCTGGCACGATGGCCCATCTTCTAGGTATTTTAGTATGTATTTCTATAAAGAAAACATTCTGTCACATAACCGCTCTACAGTGACCTAAATTGGGATACTAACACCAATATAATACATTAACAATCTATCGAGTTTGTTCTGATTCCACCAGTTACTCTGTCGATATTCCTTACCCTGTCGATATTCCTTACCCTGTCGATATTCCTTACCCTGTCGATATTCCTCGTAGTAAAGAACTTCCTGATGGTGCGGTGCTTTAACAGCAGCGTCTCTCTACTCTCTTAAACAGTCCCTGAGCTTGTCTTCATGTTTCATGACATTGATAGTCCTGAAGAGTAAAGGCCAGTTACTTTCTGGTATGTCCCTCTGTTTGGATCTTTCTGATGTTTCCTCTTGATTAGATTTGGGTTCATCAGATTTTTTTATAGAACTACAAAAAGGGCATTTCTTATCTCACAGGAGTCTTGCTTAAGCTGGGCATTCTTACCTGAGGAAATCCTGGATAGGCCTACATAATAGAGACCTTCTAATGCAAACTTCTATTTATTTTTAGGATAAGAAGGACAGGGAGCCTCTATTCAATTGGCTGTGTGGTATTCCGGRTAGTTGTTCCTGACACAGGGAGTGGCCTTATTCTAATGATTGTTGTGCCAGCCCAGCTGCTGGTAACATCTTGCTAARCTCCCAAACAGGAAGAAGTGAGCCTCCAAGATCATCTGGATTTGTCTTTCCTCACTTTTCTCCTTCATTCTTTATTCTTTCTTATTTTCCTTGTCTTGATTATTTTTTTACAAAAGGCAAACAAAATTTTTAAAAAGATATTTCACAGAAATGAAATAAGCAAAGTATTTTTAAAGATCTTTTGGACCCCTGATTCATTCCTGAAAATGAATGCTCAGGACCATCCTTAGAAATAGACTCGTAGGTAAGTGCTGAATTTGATTTTTTTTTTTTTTTGGTACCAGGGATCAAACCCAAGATTACTTAGCCACTGAGCCACATCCTCAGCCCTTTTTATATTTTATTTAGAGGCAGTGTCTCGCTGAATTGCTTAGGGCCTTGCTAAGTTGCTGAGGCTGGCTTCAAACTCGAGATCCTCCTGCCTTAGCCTCCTGAGCCACTGGGATTACAAGTGTGCACCACCATGCCCAGCTGAACTCGATCTTGTAGTCAGTATTTACTAAACCAGGTACTGAGGTAGTGAGCCACCTCATTTAT